CCTAGAAATGGAAATTTTCTTGTTTTTTGAAGGATTTTGCCCTATGTTAAATGTTAAAAAAAACAAAAAAACAACCTAGGGAACAAAAACTCTCTGCCCGAGAAATGGAATTTTCCCAGAGAAGTTGTAGGGCAGCATTTTCCCAAAGCGCTATTGTTAAAATTCTTTATAAAGGTTAATAGGTGTTACATGTAAATAAAAGTATAGTGAAGCAGATCTGGGAAATTTAGGTTTCATAAAATTAAACAGATTCTCTTGTGTAGGACTGAACAGCCCCTTTACTATACTGACCATTTTCTAGGTGAGCAGCATTTCATAAACTCAGCTCTCTGAGGCCACAGCCTTCTCAGTTCTTGTTTTGGGAACAGTTTCTGCAGAATATACTTTGGGAAACACCCTGGAATGTTGCTGGAAGTGTGCATGAGCAGGCATGAGGAGTGCCCCTTGCAGTTCCCTGTGGGTGGGTAAGTGGCCTGAGGAGGTAATAAGTTAGAATGCACCTTAGCGGAAATTTCCCAAAGTGAAGAAGGATTGCGTGTCTTTGCCACTACATCTTTTGCTTTTGAATAAAAATTCATGAAGATAAATTCTGTGGCTAAACTAATCTTTGTTTTTCATATTGCGAGTATGATGTATGGAGAAGTCAAACTGGAAACTGAATTTGATTGGGTTTAATCTGCCAGGTTTAAAGATAATCCTGTTAATAAATTTGTAAAGAAAGAGCACATAGCTCTTGGCTGGTTTTAAGGAACTAGCAGGTGAATAATGGATGGAGATTCTATTTGTATTTTACTGGAACCTGGTGGAATTCTCAGTGTCCTCTCTCCCCTCACGCAGCCCCACTAGATTTCCTGCCCACTCTTCGCTTTAAGATGCCAACCGATGGCAAAGTCGGCCAGAGCCAGTGCCGTTTTCAGTCTTCAGTGCATTGGAGCTCTTGGCAGTACCTGCTCAGCTGTCTATTCCCTTCCCAGAAACACTTGCCTCCCTTGGTCTCTAATGCTGCACTCACCTGGTTTGGGGCCTCTTCTCTGGCACTTTTCAGTTTGCTGTGCAGGTCCCCCTGGCGATTTCTAAGTGTTTGATACCTGAGGGCTCAGCGTTGGATCCCCTTTTCCTCTTCTGTCCTTTCTTCCTCGGTGGTTTCCTTCAGTATGATTTTGCATATCCGCTGCATGCTGAGGACTCCCAGATTTGTTTTCTCCACTAAAAACCAATCAGCGTGCTCAAGCCACAGATACCTGCTCTCACTGCAATGTCTCACAGATACCTCAAGACTGTGTCCAAAACCAGTTAATGGCCTCTATTCTCAGCTACCTCTTTACTCAGTTGCCTGCCTGCTAATGAAATTACCATCCAGAGTTCTCCTCTTCCATCTCTTCTTCCATTTTTTTTTTCACCCTGACATCACCATCATCAAGCCACCACCTCTAACTTGAAGGACCCCACTTTCCTCTTCCCTGATCTCCCCCTTTGTTCCCTATCTTCACTCAGTTATCATTGGGAACATCAGTCAGAGCATGACCTCATTTTAAATAAAGCCCTGTGAAGACTTCCCACCCTCCAATTAAGAACCAAATGGAGCCCGTTATCATGGCCACACAGGGACCTGTACAGCGTGGTCCTTGGCCCCTTCCTACCTCATGTTGTATGGTATCCGCTTTGCTCTCCGTGCTGCAGGCACATGGCCTATTCTCAGTCCCTTAAGCACACCAACCTCTTCCTAGAATTGGCCTCCGCATGCTGTGGCTCTTACTTGGAGCAGCTTTCTGCCTGTCCAGGGCACGCTGGCTCCTGGTCACTGGTCAGCGTCTCCTCAAGAAGCCTTCACCAGCCGTCTGGAGCAGGTTGATGCCTCCCCTGTGCCGGGACGTGTGCCTCTGCTCTGTTCTTTCAGAGCACCAGCCCCGTTCTTATCGACTTGCCCTCTGTCTCCACATTTGATTGTAAACTCCTGGGGGCACAGACCATGTTCATTTTATTCACTATGACCAGTGTGTAAGAAAGTACCTATAAAATGTTTTTGTTGAAACAAAAATTGTGAGTGCCTGATTCTGAGCTAAAACATCTCCAAATGTAAAGGGATTGTTTTCTGTGTAACTTTCTTTATTCTGAGTATATCGAATATGTATGTGTCCATATTTCTGAGCTCAGTGTATTTGTTTCATTCAACAAATATTGGTTCAGCACAGTGCCAGGGTAGAGGTAAATGATAAGTAGGCTTGTGTCTGAGAGCTCATAATAAGTAGGGAAAACAGATAAGTAAACACATCATTGTAATATGGTACAATAGGTACTACAATTAAGGCTTTTACTAGGGTCATCAGAAGCACCAAAAACAGACATTTTTCAAGGGGTGCCTCCAAAGGGCTATGGCACAGGCTGGGTCTTGAAATATAGCCAGGCCCACTAGGTCAGGTGGGAGTGGGAATCTAGAAGGACACATGGAGGTATGGTATTAAGTGGTAGATGTTAAAACAGTAGAAGTGCCCCAGGTTCCTCAGTTTTTGATAGCAAACGTTATGAGGTTGGATGGCAAGACAGCTAAAAAACAAACAAACAAAAACCACTTTATCCAAATCTATTCAGTCACAGAGTTTGAGTGGGAGAGGCCGAGTGGCTATAATGAAAAAAAATTCATGGGAGTATCAGGGCTCAAGGTCAAAGACAGGTCCAGGCAGAGAACGGCCCCTGTGTGGGCTCATGGTGGGGCTTTAGAGCCACTGAAAGGTTTTACGCAGTAGCTACAGGATGAGAGTTTCCGAAAAGTTCTTCTGGTGACAGGAGAGGAGCAGACTGAGGGTGTGGGGCTGCAGGCAGGCAGGTCAGAGGCTGAAGAGCTGCTAGACGAGAGATGAGAGACGAGGGGATGAAATGGCTGAGGGAGAGGAGGGAACGGGGTCAAGAGATTTTAAAAACACTATTTGGTGGGAAAAGGGAAAATCATTTCCAGATATCTGCTGGTTTGTGGAAATGTTGTGAAGTGGGAATTTAGAGGGCACTGATGCGGAGCCCATTTTCAGAGGAAAGATGATTCCCTTTGAAATTGCTGAGCTTGGAGTAATAGTAGGATACATATTCATAAGTGTAAGATGAATAAGACACATAGGTACTCATGGTAGTAGAGAGCCAGTCATTTCGGTGCAGTGACAGTTAACATGTATTAGTTAAGACCCAGGGGAAGCCATGCAGATGGAGGATAGCCAAGGACAGGACCCTGGGGAACGAGCATGTTTAAGGAGATGCTACTGGAGGAGAAGTTTCTACAGTTATGACCAGGAGAGAATCGTCAAAGAGGTGGGAAGTCAGCAGACCTGACTTTCAAAGAGAAGGACATAACTCAGAGGTGTCATGTGCCATAGGAGCACCATGTTGCCAACGGGAAAGCATTAATCCTTCCATCATAAGCAAATTATTTTTATGACTGCAGACTAAACTTACAGCCCTCGCTGATTGTTTTAAAAATATATGACTAATCAAAGGAGGGGAAAAGGTGAATGGGTATTTGGTTGGATCAACTCAATTTGGTCTCTACCTCTGGAAAATCAGCTCAGTACACCAACGTATTGGGATGGCAGTATATTTTCATGTAAACTAACTTGTTAACCGAGCGGGACCTATAAATATGTCAAACGTAAACAATATCGGGAACGGGTAGGACGTATGAATACGTCCTTGAAATATATGTTGCGCCCCAGAGGGACGGTATATATTTTTTGTAATTTTTTAAAATATTTTATTGATTTTTTACAGAGAGGAAGGGGAGGGATAGAGAGTTAGAAATATCGATGAGAGAGAAACATCGATCAGCTGCCTCTTGCACACCCCCCACTGGGGATGTGCCGGCAACCAAGGTACATGCCCTTGACCGGAATCGAACCCGGGACCTCTAGGTCCGAAGGCTGACGCTCTATCCACTGAGCCAAACCGGTTTTGGCTATTTTTTGTAATCTTTATCATTGTAAAATTTATAATTTTTTAATTCGACGTGTCCATTTTTTTTTGTTGGTATTCTTTTCTTTTTTTGTTGTTGTAATTTTGTATTTTCCTTTGTGCTTTATATATATAAATAAACAAATACACACACACACACACACACACACACACATACTTCATTTATTTTCATTAAGTATAAATAAAAAAAATAATATGAAATTACGTCCTCCGGGCGTGACGTACTGACACGTCCTAGTGAAAGAGTATGCGCCCGTTACAGGTTGCGTCATTAAAAAGGGAACTCCCCGGTTAACAGGCTAATAGAGTATATCTTTATTATATACCATATAATGACGGTTGTATAGCATTCTGATGCAACTTTATACTAATCATACAGTGACTGTTAACATTATTTTTGTATGGGTGGCATATGCTTTTAATGTAATGTCTACTGGTATAGAAATGATGAAGGGAGCTGTATCATCTGGAGAAGGCAGATGCCCCTGGTTCAAGCCTCAGTGCAGAGCTTCCATGCTAACCCGACTTCTACAATACTAATTTACAAAAAAACACAAAAACGAATATCAATTAAGAAAATTAAAGTGAAACACAAAATTGAGCAGGCAAGCTATTCATGCTTGTTGATATCTCTATATAGATATCCAATGTTATAACAATGAAATGTAGCAAAGGTTGGTAAATATAAGTAGGTAATTGCAGGGGCATTTGTCTGAATAATCTCATTTTGAAAGTGGGAGGAGAAGACCTGCTTGTGTATTTTATTCAGAGTTCTATGCCAGGTATTATAAATAAAACTTACCTGTAGGTGAGGGCCAGAGATGAGTAGGTGGCACGTAGGGGCAAAGACAAGTAAGTGTCTGCTCTGAAGGACCTGGCCATCCAGTTGGGGACAAATGGCATTCCCTGAGCCTATGGCTTTATTTCTTACTCTAAGAGAACTGTTATGAGGGACTTGGAATGCTTTGTGTTAGTAAATACTGTTTATTGCAAATGGTTTTTGAAATGCATTAGAATTCTATAATGATTTTTCTTTGAATCTGCAGGTTCTCCTGAAAAGAAAATCGAACATTTATCCCCGAGTCAAGAAAATATCCCTGCAGTCCCTATGAAGAGTAGAAAGGCAAGTCCAGTGTCTAAAGACCACCGGGCTGGAAAGAAAACCTCTGAGAATTCATCCGTACAGGGCCAAGTGCAGAAGGGAAATGACGAGTCTGAAAGCGATTTTGAATCGGATCCCCCTTCTCCTAAGAGCAGTGAAGAGGAAGAGCAAGAGGATGAAGAAGTTCTTCAGGGGGGACAGGATTTCAACGATGACGATACTGAACCGGAAAATCTGGGTCACAGGCCTCTCCTCATGGACTCTGAGGATGAGGAAGAGGAAGAGAAACACAGCTCTGATTCGGAGGATGAACAGGCCAAAGTCAAGTACAGCGCTGGGAGCCCTGCCTACAGAGACAAACCCGGCCGTGGACAAGACCCGAATGCAGCGCTCCCCAGCTCACCCCCAGTGCCCCCTAATGCAGGAGTAGAGACTCCCAGACAGGAGTTCGATGTGTTTGGCGCTGTCCCCTTCTTTGCGGTGCGTGCTCAACAGCCCCAACAAGGCGAGCATGAGAAGAGCCTCCCTCGGCAGCCCTGTTTCCCTGCTGTGGGCCTGGAGCAGGAGGAATTTGACGTGTTCACGAAGGCCCCCTTCAGCAAGAAGGTGAACGTCCAAGACGGCCGTGCAGCGGGGCCCGAAGCACAGACGCTCCCTGGCTGTCCCAAGAGTGTGGATATATTTGGCTCCACTCCGTTTCAGCCCTTCCCCACGCCCACAGGTAAAAGCGACAGCCGCGAGGACCTCTTCGGCCTGGTGCCCTTCGAGGAGATAACGGGGAGTCAGCAGCAGAAAGTCAAGCAGCGTAGCTTACAGAAGCTCTCTTCTCGCCAAAGGCGCACGAAGCAGGACTTGTCCAAAAGTAACGGGAAGCGGCACCACGGCACGCCCACCAGCGCGAAGAAGGCGGCGAAGCCCGCCTACCGCACCCCGGAGCGGGCCCGCAGGCACAGGAAGGCGGGCCGCCGCGACTCCCAGAGCAGCAACGAGTTCCTGACCATCTCGGACTCCAAGGAGAACATCAGCGTCGCGCTGACGGATGGGAAGGACAGGGGCAACGTCCTGCCTCCCGAGGAGGGTCTGCTGGACCCGTTTGGGGCCAAGCCCTTCCACCCCCCGGACGTGCCATGGCACCCTTCCCACCAGGGCCTGGGCGACATCCGCGCCGACCACAACCCCGTGCTGCCCGGGTGGCCCAGACCCAACTCACTCCACGGGTCCTTTCACAGCTCAGAGGCGCTGAAGATGGACGACTTTGGTGCCGTGCCCTTCACAGAACTTGTGGTGCAGAGCGTCACCTCACCTCAGGCCCAACAGCCCCAGGCCATCGAATTTGACCCATTTGGTGCTGCTCCGTTTCCTTCTAAACAGTAGAGACTTGTGAGAGACTCTTGGTGTTAACCCCTGTTTCAAAAAAGGATGAATAGTTTTATGAATTTGAGAGGAAATTTATTTGCATAGCTCTTTTTTTTTTTTTTCTTTTTTCTAAATTAAGGTCAGGAGCTGTTTGCACCTAAGGCAACCAAGAACTGCTTGATTATGTCAATGGTGGTTTTGAGGCTCAGAAGATTCCATTGCTGCGCTAATGTCTTGATCAGTTAGGCGGTAGGCAGCTCTTATTCCTTCAGCATCTTTGTTATCGAGAATGCGTTTCTTTAGTGGTGGTTTAGACAACACAGCATCCATCTCCTACTCAGGTAAATGGGAGAGCTGTTCCTTATTGGACTTACGGTCTGAAAGTAGGGTCAGCTTTCCTCTTGCGAGTGTTTGCAACCTTGCACAGGTTCGGAAAACATGCTGGGGCATGCAGGTCAAGACCTTCAAGCCTAAGAGCCTTCAAGTAAGGAAACATGGCAAGATCATATTTCTCGAGCAGTTTATCCTCAAACATCCATACATTTCTTTATCTCATGACCAACCCCCCCCGTTGGAAGCTTGTGTGAGACATGCCTTCATGGACAAAGGACTTAATAGTGATGTATGGAGTCATTTCATCAACTAATTTTACTTGGGCTACAAAGGCATGTCCAGTAGGTCCAACTCTCGCACGTTCTTGGATGCCCAGTAAACCCCGGAGCAGGCTTCTCATCCTCTGCCAGAGCGCGATGAGGCTGCCTCTGTAAAGTCCGCTGGGGTGACAAATCGGTAATGTGTGGTGTAACTCCGGGCCGACTGTAGCAAACATAGCATTGAACCTCCTTTGGATTTGCTCAATAGGATTTTGCTGAGGCTTTCGTACTAAATGGTACATTAAAGACAACGCCGCTTTAATGTTCTTGTATCGATACTTCCCTTCACCAGTCACCTCAATGTTGTCCACTATCCATGGGGCTAGTCACCATCTTGACTTGAAAGGCCTCTGGTTTCCATGATGTACTCATGAATCTGGGGAACTGTATCGTACAACTGGGGAAAGGTTGTTAGAAGTAGTGACAGCATGGCTGCTGTGATACCACCTACAATCCGCTGAATAACCTGCATTGGACTTGCTAGTACGGTCATAGCTGACAGGATGGCCAGTCTAGGAGGGGGAATAGCCAGAAGCTGAAGGCCACCACCGGGTATTTCCACAGAATCCTCCACTGTGTACTTGTATAGCTCTTTATATCATTCATTCTTACAATTCAATCACAAGAGGTGATTTTTAAATAAACCAAATAGCAAAAGGAAGTATCTCCACAGGGTAGTGACTCGATGTCTCTTCCAGGCGGGAAGAGGGAGCTGCTTCGGAAGCTCTGGCCAGGGTTTCAGCTACTGACCTGACCACAGCACTGAAATCCAGGGGACGCATGTGGCCTGGTTCCACATGTGTGTTATTTTTATACCAGAATGTCATGTCTGTGTGCCCATCCAGGCTCATTCCAGAATCCAGCCTTAAAGCCAAGGCTGTCTGTACACACACAAGCTGCCCTTGTGGATTTTTTAAGGGTCCTTCTAATTTCCAACAGTAAAACAGAATCTTGTCTTCACAAAGAATCAGAAGGTTGTTATCTGGGGAATGCAGAGATTCTAATCCTCCTACCTTTCTCTACAAAACAGAGCCAGAAATAACTGTTGTGCCTAAAACCTTCATTTTTAAAAACAAGTGCCATTAATATGGAATATCTACGTAGATGCCTAGAACAAAAACTTGAGAGATACTTGATGTGTGCAAAGTCTAAAAGAAAAAAATGATATAAAAAAGAGATAAAAACCCAGTACTTGAACATTTATTGTTCCGCTTCTGAATGGCTTCTTGCTCAAAACTTTTATTTTCACGTCTCTAATAAAAGAGATTATTGGAAAACTGGGAATGAGGAGATGAATTATATGGAATTTTTATTTCAGAAAAAAGAAAAGCTGTAGCTGAAACCCTGAGTTTTTAAGACGTTTTCAATGTAAAATCATGTACTTGAATAAATTACCACTTTCACCAATATTCCCCAAGTCAAGAGCTACAGTTTCCTTCATAAGGTTTGGGGTGGAGAAGGGGGAGGGTCATTGTAATGAGTGCACAGAGTAGTGACAGCCCCCAGTCTAATGGGCAGGACTGGAATCCTGCTGTGAACCTCTGCCCTCTGTGGGGCTGTCCATCTTACACTGGCTACATACTAGTAAAAGGTATCAGGTGATGAGCAACTAGTGTCTTAACTCTGCTAGTTGATTGTGTCTTTAGTGAAAAGAACTCAGCTACCAAATTGCTTTTTTTTTTTTATACCACAAATCCTAATTAGAAACTTGAGATTTTATAGGAACTGTCTAATAAGATAGAAATTAAATATATGAATTAATGTGTCTTCAAGTATTTTAAATTATAATTTACTGTCCCTTTCCCTATCAAATTAACATGTAGAAGTTTCTGTGAAAGCTATTCACAGAAAGGGTGGAAACTCTTGTCAACTGGCACTCTCCCTAATTGCTATATTTTAAATTCTCTTTGAACCCAGTTAAAGTGTATTTTGTGAGTAATCTTACTAAGAATCTCTTGATAGTATCCCAGTTGGGATGAGCTATTTGCTTGTTTTCACAGTTCTAAACTTGGGAAGCAGCAGAGAATATGTAACCAGACCACATATTCATTTTCATTGCCTCTCTTTTCTCTTTTAAAGCAGAAACAAATTTGTGGACAGATAGGGAAGCAATGTGTGAGTCACAGTTAGCAGAGGCAGATCAAGCATCACATTATTGCTTAAGTGCTGCACTTTGGAGCCCGATTACCAATACTTGTCCTGTGTGTGCCAAAGGCAAATACTATGTTTGCACCTTTTTTTTCTTTCTTTCTTTCTTTCTGATTCTCAGGTTGAATAGTACTGCTAATGCACATGTTTAAGTAGATGTTCTTTAAAAATTTACAAAGTAGATTCACGGGATACTTTATTTTAAAAGTGAGGAGTTGATGATTATATACAGTAAATTCATGAACTACAGTAGGTTTGTATCAAACAGAAGAAAAATTTTAAAATGAAAATCTGTTGATGTGTACACAGTATGCTTTTTTGACTGTTTTAGTCCTGGGCCTTGGTCTCTGCTAGACTTCAGGAGTTCTGTGATTTAGAAGAGGTGGTGGATGAATTAGTGTGGTCTCCATGGGATGTAAACATGAACTAGACTCTCTTTGGTACTAAGGCCTTGCTTACATTTGCTTTTATTCTAGCCCAGCCCAGGTGGCTAAGTGGTTGTGTTGATCTATGAACCAGGAGGTCATGATTTGATTCCTGGGCAGGGCACATGCCCACGATTGTGTATCAATACATTGAATATGTTTAAGTGACTTGGACTCTGGGTTATAATGTGGATAAATTCTAAAGAAACAACTTTGACATTGTTTAAAATATTTACATTTTTTACTTTCTTATGTCACAGCCCAGTGACTCTCCTCTACAGATTACAGTTCAGAGGAAGCACAGGATTCAGTGGAGGAGGGGGAAGAGGAGGAGGAGGGGGAGGAGGGGGAGTTCTTGTTGGAGGAGTAGAGCATTCCCTGCAGCAGCACAGGATGAGGGTTGCTTTCCATTTCCAGTCATCTCCTCCCACTGCTGTTAGGATATACACACAGCTCCATTCAGCTGACACCCAGCTCATTCCCTTGTGAGAATTACGAAAATAAAGCTCCCAAAGCATGTGAAAAAGATTGGCACACACTTGGCACACTGCACGCAGTGCAAGTTTGGCTCTATTATGGGAGATCCAATTCTTGTTAAGGGAAGGAAAATTGAGATTATATTCCTGTTAATCAGGTGTGCTTTGTGCATGTTAAATAATTATAACTCTAAACCTGTAATACTTGAACAAACATCATTAAGGGAAGTAAATATGAAGCTAGCAAAAATCCGAGGCCAAAGTTATTTCTGCCCTAACAGCTTTAATCATGCTTGTTGATTTTGAATAATCTTTCTAAAAGTGGACCATTTGCTCAATTATTTTAATAGTATCACTTCAGCAAAATGTTAGGTGTTAAAGATTAGCTTTTATGGCATTGAAGAATGTATCTGTTAAGACGCAAATGTTGCTTGGTATAAATGTTGGGTGGAAGAGGAAAGGCTATAGGCTGGAGGAAAGTTAGACTAGAATATTTATACAAAAGGATCAGCCTGGGAAATGGTGTAATTGTTCCACTGACCCGTGTGTGTGTGTGTGTGTGTGTGTGTGTGTGTGTGTGTGTGTGTACATATTTGGCCACAGTTACAACATTATCGGGATTGTAGAAAAATGTTCCTTTTGACCCTGCCCTGCTTTTTGTTTAACAGCAAGTCTTGTCCTCACCTTGCTGGTGAAATACCAAGGGGAGGTCCCTCTTCTGCTCTGGTGTTCACCAGGCAGGGCAGTTTTCACTACTCAGCTGCTCTGCTTGGCTCCTCTTAGGTTTTGGTACTTCATACAGGCACTGCTAGAAGGTACATGTGTATTGGTGTCACAGGTCCTGACGAGTTTGAGTACATTAGTTTTCATATATGTAGAACGTGCAGTACACTTTTTTTTTTTTCCTTTTTAAGCAAAATTATTTTAGGTTCAATCTTGAGCTGACAGATTTACTGTGAGAATGAGATGGCATACTTACTGTGAGAATAACATAAATGATAGTTTATTTTGAAAACTTTTATACACACTGGTGTTTATATATTAAGAGAAATATGTAAACACACATGCACATGTCTCTTCAGTAGAGTTAATGTGAATTTCTCAGTTTTAAATGGAATTGCAACCACAATCATTGCTCAAAGAACTTTCACTCCTAAGTGAGTGTTTACAAAAGCCACTAAAAGAATACGGTAGACAGGAAAATGCAATGGGTCATCATTTGGGATGATTTTTATTTAAAAACTAATTGTGCTATTTCTGAAAGAATTGTTTTTATTCCTAGCTCTTTTTGTGATTGAAAGTCATCTATAGTAAGCAGTATGGTAATGAACTACTTTTTAATTGCTGGCAAACAGCTTTAAGTGCACTTTCTTTGATTACATTTCCATTTTTTGTTAAACTTGAATTTTCTGAAGCCTTTTATGTACCACTAAGCAAATAACTTTTATTAAGCCTGATTAACATCTTTATTATATTTCTAATAGTTACAAAACGTACTTTCTATGGTAACTTCAGATATAGCTGGGAAACTGTTATGAGATAGAACCAGTTGCTTTTATTTTCTCCCTTTAATTAAGCACTAACTGATTTTACTACTTTGCCTTGACATTGCTTATTATTGACTGAATTGTCCCCCATTCACTTTGTTTTGTTTGAAATTTAAAGTTATTTTCTTACTGTATTTATCATACCTGTTTTAATAATCTGCTTTCTTTAAATGCAATAAATCTCAAATGGATTGCATATTCTTTATAATCAGTGACTTTGGAGTTGTTCATTATTTGTCTTATTGAAAAATTTGGTTGTAAACTTCTATTCTCTTATTTCATTCACACCACAGACATTAAGCACTTACTGTGTATCAGCTAGTGAAAGAGAAGAATGAATAGAATTGGATGTCTGGGTTCACAGTTTAGGCTTCAAATAAGAAAACCCATTTTGACATGGCATTTTTGCCACAAAGATATTTAATAACACAATTTCTTCTGGCATTACGATTAAGATACTTAAGATGAAGACGAAGCAAAAACGTAAGACTTGGAAGTACCTTTTGAATATTTGGCATAGTTTATGTATTATGTTTAATTTTTAAAACTTTAAAAACTGGTAACATACATAACTTAATTTGGTTAAATAAAATATTGTACTCCTTGGTTATGTCAGAAAAGAGGCTTTTCAAGATAAAGAGAATTTGCTGGACTCACTTTGGCATCTGTGTCGCAACATGTATTATCTGAGGTATTTATTCCACAGCCTGGAGTCTTTAGAGAGGTGGCTTGTGGAAAGGTTTATCTCGTCTGTTATGAATGGACTTTTTTGTTGTGGAAGTAGTAACATTTATCTAAAGTTATGTGGAGAAATAAGGCCTTTGTGTCTTTTTAATAAATGGTACAAAGGAGCAAAATATAACAAATCAGAAGTTATATAAAAAAAGAACTGTGGAATGTACCATTGTTCAAATTCAGTTAAAGTTAACTTCTTTAGAGACAAATACATGCCGCAACTAGAGCTGTCTGTATTGAACAGCTAGTCCCTTTGTAGGGAAGTCGGCTCCAGCATCCTGTGAGATGTGGTGAGCAGTGTCAGATGGAAGGCACGAGCATCTGAGTTTCACTTGTGGCACGTTTAAAAAGATAGTTCACTTTTGCTCCAGATGCTTGACACCGTTGAAATTACAACTCTGTTCCGTAGTGTTTTTGAACCCAGTTTTATAGAGTAGTACTAGACCCTGTGTGGCTATCAGTCCTGCCCTCTGAAGATGGAAGTTTTACTCTTCACCTGAGACCCCTCCTGCTACCCCATCTCCCTTCTGAAAACAGTAAGTTTTTGTTTTGGAACATTATCTCCCTACCCTGCTGAGGAAGTATGGTACAGTTTCCGTAGCATCTGTGCCTCTTCCATATAAGCAGTTATTGTGATAACGCATGCAGAACTTCTGCCCCTTGTCCACTAGCTGAGCTGACTTCACGTTCTTGGACGGGTGGAATGACTGAAAGTGAGGATTTGGGGTGAATGTGGACCCATGCAGCTCAGCAGCTGGCAGGCATCTGGAAGGCAGGCGTGGCCCCTTGACATTTAATACAGGGCAAAGGGTATATCTAGGTAGGTACCTACCTGCCAAACAGGTACAGTTCTATGCCAGTCAATCACAGCCTTAAAATCGGTTACTTGGTCCAGGTGGGAGCCATAAGGTGTGACAGATATTCCCTGACTCTTCATTCTTGGTGCTAAAACATGATTTTGAGACTGTTATGTATTATAAAGAATGAGGAGCAGCACTTAATATATATAGTAAACCAGTTTATTTACATAATACGTATTTTGCCATGCAGCTTGTGAATTGCACTCAGATGAACAACAAAGAAGACAAGCACTAATCTTGCTATTTAAAAATGCCTTATATAGAAAGATAATTGTCTCTTAAATGAGTTAACTACAACCTTATAAATCACTATAGACAATTTAAAGCAGCCATGGGTAATCTTAAAATGTAAAGTCTGTCAGTGAAGCGCTTTAACATAGGTAATATTAAAAATTAAATAAAACCAGTAAAATAAAAATAACTTAAATATACATATATTACAAGGCTCAGATTTGAAGGCAATTTTTACATAGTCATTCTTTAATGTTAACAGTGCCTTAAAAATTTTGCCAGTAGTGGTGTGTACACAGTACATGGTCAATAAATGCTGACATACAGAAGTGTTTACAGTTGACAGCAATCCACATTCATTCATTTCTATGTTACAGTAAATACACCATAGTAAAGATAAGAATGAGAGAAATGTTTACATGGTATAATTCTTACAGTCAGACCTTTTATACTTGAAAAACAGTTTTAAACACATTATGTTCTTTTTATTTATTAATTCAGATGACAAGTACTATAAACCATACACTATAACAAAAAATCAGGAATATTTTTAAAAATTAAAATAAAACTTAAGGTTTCAATATGTTTTTGAGAAGATTTTATAACAAAAATGATACCAGACCTCAAATAAGTAGACTTCTTCATTTTTAAATTAATTGTAAGTAGTGTATTTTGTTTGGCAAAAATGACAAAATATCTATTGAAAAGAAATAATATCAACCGGCTGCTGGTGTGACTCATTGACTGAGGGGTGAACTATGAACCAGGAGGTTGAGGTTCAATGATCTGGGTATATGCCTAGGATGCAGGCTTTGTCCCCAGTGGGGGGTGTGCAGAATGCAGCCGATTGATGATTCTCCCTCATCATTGATGTTTCTATTCCTCTTCCCCTCTCCTTTCCTCTCTCTGAAATCAATAAAAACATTTTTTTTTTTAAAAAGCAATAATATTCATGTAAGCCAATAAGGAAAGTTTTAGGGAAAATGTATCCTATTATCATTATACCAGAATCTTATTATTTAGCACATGGATCCAATTTGTGGCCTTATGAGCCCCGCTGGTGTGGCTCAGTGATTAAGTGTCGACCTACCTAGGAAAAAAGAGATTGCTGGTTCAGTTCCAGGTCAGGGCACACTCCTAAATATGGACTTGATTCCCCCAGTAGGGGGCATGCAGGAGGCGGCTGATGGGATGTTTCTCTCTCATCGATGTTTCTATCTATCACTCTCCTTTTCTCTCTCTAAAAAAAATCAATAGAATATATTTTTTTAAAAAAAGTGTCCTTATGAGATAAAATTGTCATCTTCAAAGAGCAGTGTTCCACCAAAATACAGTGTGTTGTTGGCCCTCGGGGGAGAAACTCTTTTCACTGAGATAGCAGCATGGGGAATTTATATTACAAAAACACTACACTGAAAAACACACAAAATTTTATAGATGCATAAACTGAGGCACAGTGAAGTTAACATTCCTAGTATCAAGATATACAAATGGCATTTTGGGAATAAGCTTCACCATTAACACTTCTGATATTTAGAAATTCCAAAGTTCCGAAGACATACCAATATTTAAAGGAGCTCCTGTCAATCTAGTAAGAAACCTGGATAATATTCCAATAACCCACATGTTTTTATGAATGACTGCTTTAAGGGATTTAGCTTAGGCATATGAAAAAAGACCAAAGAACAAGAGTGTTTTATTGTATGATAGGGCATTGAGAACTTTTTAAGTATATACAACAAAATGCAAAATTAATGTCTCGGGCCCAAATATTAGTATGTATCAATACTTGAGTTATCAATACAATGTTAACACGTGCATAAACAGAGAAAGACTACAGCACAGGTGAATGATCTGCCATCAAATGGGTCATCTGCATGACTTTGTTCTAAGGCTTAAGGTTCATTTCAGGGTCAAGACCCGGCCATGCAGATTTTATGGCCTTAAAAGTAGCACCCATATAGCTGGGAAACCCCCCCCCCCCCCAAACCCCGCGCCTCCCCTAATCATCAGGGAGTCTAGGATTGCAAATTCAGAAGTGAAAGCTTTTCTGCTGCAGGGATTTTGGAACTAAATATCTGCACTCCACTGGCAAGAGTTCAATTATTATACAAACTTAAACGATATTTGAAATTTAAAAAGCTTCAATGGCTGGTTAGTTGGTTATCAGATCATAGAATTTGTCACCTGATCACATAGCTTGCAATGCCATTCTTATCTGATGGGAAATGACAATGCAAGTTCTCTTCTCAACACCTCTTTCAACTTAAAGAAGAAGAGGTTTAAACTTTTTGTCCCAGCAAACTAAAAAATCCCATGTTCCTAGGGAGAAGAGAACCCACGGCTAAAGGCAATAACATCGCATGTGCCAGTTTCTCACAAACCATGTATTCAAAGGCTAGTGATGGTTCAAAATCACTGTCCTAGCCTATGTTCAGCATAGGCTGTCACAACCCTCGCCTTGATTAGGCACTTGATCATCTGTAAATATTTTCTATCTAAGTATTCACACAGGGTGGCCCCATTTCATAATGGAGGTGAGCCCTTCCTACGGAAATGAAGCTGGTGGTAAGTAAAATGAATACTGTTTTGACACTGGTTTCACATTCATTGCCAATTAATTTTCACTTCCTGTACAGGAGCAAAAGAGTAGTTTTAAGGGCTTGCAAAGCAGTTACTATTACAGCTCCCGATGTATTTTTCCATTTTTTAGAAGATATTACTCATGATATATTAAATAGGAAAAGGAAGAACTAATGGGGATCTTAGAAATATTGGGGTATACAACTCCCCGTTATATATTGCTTAACAGCCAAACACACCAGGTAGCTAAATATACCTGAATTCACAAATGGGAGACATAGTCAGGGCAAGGCTTGCTGTGTCTGTACTGCATGACGTACACTGTTGACTGGTGCCACCAATATAACATCACTACTGCAAGGATATGCCAGATTTGGTGGCTCGATCCGAGGTAGTTTAGTTGTCCTGGAAAGGAAGGTAGAGAGAAAAGAATATTGGTTGTAATATTTTGACATTAGAATAAAGTTTATCTCTGGCTTTGGAAATACAGCTCTATAGCAAAAAGATTTTGGTAAGCCTCAGAGCTCCAAGAAACTGATTTGAGATTAACTGAGACCCAAATATTTTTCAAGAAAGGAAGGATTCATATTTGAGACTGATTTTAAGGTTTTATTCATAAAGCAGTACACTGGTGAATTTTAGAAATACTATTCCAAATGTGTTTTCAACCGTCTATCTTGGTTAATTTCAGGAATTTGACCTTTAATCTCCCTTGTGTCACCTTTTATCTGCTGAAGAAAAGACACTGCATGAGAGAAGCAGAGGAGACCCATGCTCCGATCACAGTGAGTTGGCATGAAGCAGATGCACTGTGATGTTGGCTCTAAGTCTGCTGGGAGCGCTTTTATTTCAAGCAGCCGTGCAAGGAGAGAGCTCATATCTGCATCTTGAGCGATCACACTAATGAAATAATCTGCAAAATGTATTAGTGATGGGTTAACTAAGGTTGGTTAGTTCATATACAACTTAGGAGAACTATTTCTCTTAGTGGTTAAATGTTAAATTCCAAGGAGATTACATAATTAACATGTGGGAAGCTTCTGGAAAGATCATGAAATGAAATCCAGTTAAATAACTTTTTTTTGTAAAGCAAACATCTCTAATCTTTTTCTTTCTTTTGTCCTTACCAAGAAAACCAGTACACTATGTACATTTTAAAATGCAAGTCAATAGAAATATTTCTGTAGGGTTTTTTTTTTTTTTTTTTTTTGCACCTTTTTGTGTGTCATGGACCCCTTGACAGTCTTATGAAACCTATATATTTATTTTTTATTTTAAAAATATATTTTATTAATTTTTTACAGAGAGGAAAGGAGAGGCATAGAGAGTTAGAAATATCGATGAGAGAGAAACATCTATCAGCTGCCTCCTGCACACTCCCTACTGGGGATGTGCCCGCAACCAAGATACATGCCCTTGACCGGAATGGAACCCGGGACCCTTCAGTCCGCAGGCCGATGCTCTATCTACTGAGCCAAACCAGTCAGGGCTATAAATTCATTTTTTAAAAACCAAGAATACGGAGGATTAAAAAGAAAGTTGATTATGTTGTTACACAAGTATCGCAGAGCTACTAAATCGTGTCCATGGACACCTGAGGGATGATTGAATTCATTAAATACATTGTGATGTTTATATATTAAAAATTTAACCTGAGCTGAAAGGAAGTTTTTAGGTTTTTTTTTTCTTTTAAAAATATTTTTATTGATTTCATAGAGGAAGAGAGAGGGAATGAGAAACAAAAACATCAATGATGAGAGAGAATCATTTATCGGCTGTCTCCTACACACTCAACATGTGCCCTGACTGAGAATGGGTCATAGGTCAATGCTCAACCACTGAGCCACTCCAGTTGGGCAAGGTTTAAGTCTCTTTGATTTCACAGTATTCACCCACCATTTCGTCACCAATGCACATGGCCAGACAAGGTCCTTAAGCCTCGCGTCTGTGAACATCTGAGACCGTCACTTTTATCTGGAGACTTTCCACGGTTCCCACATCACTGCTCAAAGGTTTCTATCCTGCACCAACATTAAGCCACATGGGCCACATTTTATGTCAAGTTCATCTAGCTGGAATGTTAAGTTACTTAACATTTGACCTTTTATAAATTTCCTATATTAGACAATTGGGAACTCCTGAGTATTTTAAGGCCTACAAATGCTGGAGAACGTTCATGGCTTAATTTTCTACACGTCTGTGATGAAGAGGTAACGCTTTTCAAAAGAACTACTGATAAAGTGATACAAACATGTATTTTACCAGAACTGTTTTCTGAGGAAAATTCCAGCCCCGCTTGGAGGATGGGTGGTCTCCCAATTCAGGGACATGTCCTAACTATGGTCCTGAATCCTATATTTACAACACTCAGGTTCTTCTTCATGTTCCATTCTATAAAACTCAGTGCTGAGAGCAAAGTGTACAGAGGAAAGTTGCAGGTTCTACGTTCTATTCATTCTCTTCTTCCCCTGCACACGTGAGCAGCGGCATCTTCAATCCACCAGGAAAGTGATTCTCAGCTCAGGAGAAAGGAAGGCCAAGTCTGCAGTTTGAATTTATCTACTCCCCTCATCCTGGCCCCCCACCTGAAACAGTACTGCTTTCATATTATTCCTGACTCAGCCAAAGCTTACCTGGGCTTGAGTCCATACCTATGGGACTCAATCTATAATGTGAGAATGACAGGAAAAATCTGTGAAAACCCTTTGAAAGTTCAAGTTTTAGATAACATTTGAGAATAGGAGAGCCATTCCATAAGCAATAGTCTTGAAAAAGTACAACTTAAGTTTACATGTCAATAATATATATTCAGAATATAGTTATACAGTCACTATACAAGCAGTACCCACCTGGAAAGTACCGCTCTGGAACTTTGGAAATGTAGAACAGGAAAGCAAGAAGTGCGATCACGTACATCACAGCAACACGGGGTGCAAAGTCCTGAAAAACAGAACACACTGTTCACAGGTCTCCACTGTGGCTGAAACCCCAGTTTATTACGAATCCAATTTACAGGCTAAACTTATAGGTGGAATTTAAGTCTGCTAAATCTCAATTGCTTTTGCAGACAATCTCTAGTGACAGAAACCTCACTCTTAATACTGCAGAAAGCAGTCCACAAGAGTGGAAGTTAGAGTTCCCTAAAGGTTAGGTACTAAAGGAGCCAGAACTTTCACAAGGTTGAAGGACCTACGTCAACAATCCATTTACAGGCATCTGGGGGGAGTGCATCTGGGATGGAATTGCCACAGGGATAAGTAAAAAGATGGAAGACCAGGGACTTGAGCTGAAAGACCCAAGAGGTTGAGCTCAGTAATGAAGTCTGTTCCACTATCCTGGGAACATGGCCCTGATGAGTACTATTGAAGCAGTCTATCCGACAGCTCAGTCAGCATTTCCTTGCCCTAAGATGATCAGCCAGCTATTGATTATATACCTAATTTGGTTATAAATCCAATTTTCCCAGAGCCCAATAAAGAAATAAAGACAAACTACTTTTCTTTCCTTTTCAAATATCTGAGAATTATCCCAGCCCTCCCTAAATTCTATATCCTCAGATTAATCCCAACCTAAGATTTCTCAAACCTTCTAGAACTTGACTCCACCCCACCTCCCAGAATTAGTTCTCCTGGATCTTTTCATCTTTGGTTGTGTTGTTCTTTCCTCTTAAAAATCAGAATGTACTACTAGAGATTTCCCTGGAAGTCTCCCTTTCCTTCTCCACGGGAATCGTCTGAGTATGTTAGATTTCCATCTGGGAACCACTGTCTTCCTAAGCCAGATTTCTATCTTAAGATTTCTGAACATGGAAAAGTTCCCATTTTTTTTTCTGAGTTCTGTAAAATCCATTATCTTAATGGGTCTGGTTCTCTTTCTTTGTTGTTACAAGCTTAAAAGGCTGTGTCACTCATCCCAAACTTTTGGTCACTTCTCTGTCAACAATCAGTTATCAATTTCTGGTTAGAACTGAATTGAGAGTGGTAGCCCCTTATTCCATTTTCCTTTACTCATTTCAGGAAATCACAATTCTCAGAAAACAATGTTTTCACAGATACCAGGATCACTGAAGTTCCTCATCATGACACTCTCATCTTTCTCCCAATTTCCTAGTCTGAGGAGGAAAGCATCGCCTTTGTCCTTGAGTTGGCAAACTGGTCACATAGATCCTACCACTCCGATTCACTAGATCACAGAACTACCTCCTTTCATTTTTACACCCAAATGTTTTTCACCATGGTGCTGCCAACTTCATGCAAGTATAAGCCTACTATTAGTCCTCCCACTTCTAAAAAAATGCTAATTCTTTTGAATACAACCTATATTCCAGACAAAGTTCTTATTGTAAAAAGTATACTGATTTCCACTGCATTTATGTTAAAAATTCTTAACTTTACTCTCTAGTGCATTTTTCTATGAATTTCTAAGAATGTCTTATTTCGAATCTTCAAGAATATATAGGATTTTTCTCACTGAGGTCCTTCCTAATGCACTCCAACTATGCTTCTATAATACCTAACTCTAACAGCTTCTATTTCTTAATATACTTTCCTTGGTTGGTGAAATATGCTTCTATGACTCCAGCTACCAATACAATAATGATTTGAAAATCTTTAAAAAAAAATATTTTTATTGATTTCAGAGAGGGAGAAGGAGAGATAGAAACATCAATGATGAGAGAAAATCATTGATCAGCTGCTTCCTGCACACCCTTACTGGGGATTGAGCCTGCAATCTGGGTATGTTCCCTGACCAGGAAAGGAACCATAACATCCTGACTCATAGGTGAATGCTCAATCACTGAGCCACACTGGTCAGGCATGATTTTCAAATCTTAATCACTAGTCTCAAACTCTAACCTAAATTCTATAATCTATCTCCACTTTTATATCCCACAGGTACCTCAAATTCAACGGGTCCAAGAAAAATTTCCTTCTCAACTCCTCCTCTTCTACCCATACACACATATCACCCAACTGCTCCTGTTTCTGTACTTGCATCATGAGCATTCTCCTTGCCTCAGCTGACAAAGTTAGAAATGTGAGTCATCCTTATCAGGCAAGGACTTAGGTACTTACACTCCCAGAAAAAATAGAGAATTCAGAAGGTATTATTTCACAGAAAGCCATCTCAGAATAAAATGGTGGTTAGATTTGACTTCTGTTCCCGTACAGTGTTTCTCAAACTTTTGACATGTGTGTACCCCTTCTATAATTTTCCTAACGCTGAGTACCCCTCACACTCATGAGAACATAGAATTAGGCACAGCTAAGCACGATGCAGTGCATATCCCCACCAAACTCCGGTGCAACGCGTACCCCTACTAAACTTTTCCATACCCCGGGGGGTATGTGTACCACACTTACAGTGTAAGACATGCTTGTTTGGGTACGTGTTTAAATTATGGCATCAGTATGTCATTAGAAATATGTTCTCAAATGACAAGGTCTCAGCCACTTGCCTGATTATACTACTTTACCCAAAAGGAATAAAATCAAAAGGACACAAAAAATGGGGAAAATGTGGTCTCCTCTCAACCCACCTGTACAATAGGAGCACCTATGCCTCCATTGAGCCAAACCCAGTGAAGAGTAGGAATGACGCCATATCCCGAAACAGAACAGAAGATGATGGAACGCAGCCTCTGCCACTGCTGAGTGAGGTAACTGGGATGGATCTGCGCGAAGAACACTGCCAGGATCATAGCAAGCACTGTGATCAGGTACACCTGCCGCCAATACTGGAATGAAAGGCAATCAGGTTTTAGTTGTTATTGCCGAGGGAAGGGAAAAAGTAATTATGGCTTCTACGTCACACATTCCAAATTATTGGCTTGGTATTTGCATTTGAGAACATGATTACCTTCCTTCCTTAAAAAATGCATGTTCCATTTTTAGGTTTAAACAACTAAACAACTTTAAACAACTTTTAGGTTTCTCAGGATGATAAACCAAATTTCAAGGTGAGTTGGTTAAGAGACCACATTTATTATAAAAAGCATATTCTGAGTTTCGATTACAGGGGTGGGAACCTCTTTTGCTAATCGCCATTGGGCTATTTATAACATTTGAGGGCCATAGAAAATGATCAACTTAAAAAGTAGCTTGTTGTATTTGGTCAAACGTTTAATTAACTCACCCCTAATGCCTTGGCCGGTTCAGACCAAATGATTTTGCAGGCCTTGTTCTGTATGGCCAGAGGGCCAAATGATCCCCACCCCTGACCTCGTATATGCTAGGGACAATTTATGTCCTGTAGAAACAAAGATGACTATGACACGGACTCACCCAGTGGGTGAGCTCATAGACTGCGGGAGGGGCAGACGTGTAAACAAATGATTACAATCTAGTGATGAGTCCTGTAACCGTGTTATCACCAGCATGCTGTGGAGCCACAGAGGAGGGAGTGATTAATGTTACCTGGAGTGGCCAAAAATGCTTCACAGAGGAGGTGACATCGCAGCTGGGTCTTGTGGAATACAATGTGTGGGAAGAGGAGCCCTCGAGGAACAAACAGGACATGCAGCCGTGTGCAGCAGGGACATTTTGGGAAGGGAGGCTGATCGGCAGGTGGATGTCAGACTGAGCATGTGGAGCTTTAGCATGTAGCATAGTTCTTGAAGAATGGGACGACGTGATTGTTTTTCAAACTGACTTATAAGAAAGAAAACTCTAACAGCCCATGTTGAAAGAATGAGGTGGCAGGAAGAGAGCTAGAAGACAGAATAACTGACTCAACAAGTGAAGGAGGGCTTGGATTCTTGTTGAACAAGGAAGTGGCAGTGAGCACCAGATTCAGGAGGCGTTTTTGAAATGATGTCTTACTGGCTGCCTGGATGTGTGAGAGGGCAGCACAGGATGGCTTGGCTGTTTCCAGTATGAAAGGCCACACACACCTTCTATCAATGGAGAAAATGAACAAAGATGATCCAAATGGGGTGTGTGTGTGTGTGTGTGTGTGTGTGTGTGTGTGTGTGTGTTTTGGGGGGGGAAAAACTCGGGGGGGGGCATGAAACAATATTTATTGAAAAATATATTGGTTTTGAAGGGCTTATAGAATATTTAGGTTTCTAAATGAGCAGTTGAAAACCTGGTCTTGAAGCTCACAAGTTAGCATCTCATAGGACAGAGTTCATAACCTGGACTCCTAGGACTACGTGGGGCTATTCACTTCCTTAAATCACATGTCAAATTATTTGGTTAGTTTGTGCCCAAAAGTACATTCTCCTGGAGGAGGGTCCATAGTTTGCAATCTGGAGCAGCCTGTGCTCCCCAAAAGGGAATGAGCCACTACAGCAAGTGCGTATTCAGGAAGATTAGATACCAGAGGGAAGAAAACGTTCCCCTTAAATGATCATGGACTGTGTTAGCTTTAGTAGTTCTCCTTTCTCATCAATCTATCCTGCACTTCTAGTTTTTTTCTGAAGAGATTTACAAAAAGTGTCTGACTAATCTCATTGATTATCTGATATGTTTACTAAAAGATAAGCAGAAAACTGGTTTCAGAGAAACAGAGAATAAGATAAGCAAAAGGATCCAACACTACATGGCTGTCCTCACTAAGCTCCTAGTTAGCAGGTTCCCTCTCATTTTTCAAGGATATAAACAGTTTCATGCAAAATAAACAAGCCGTGAAGGCTGAGCAGACATACTAGGTTGACTACTGAAGTAAAATCAATTTATAACAAGTTAATTGCTTATATATCTATCTCTATAATATCTATATAAAACTCTAATATGCAAATCGATTGAACAGTGGAACGACCTGTGAAACAGCCGGTCGGCGGGGGGCAGGGCTGGTGAGTGCAGTGCCAGGACAGCCAAGGCAAGTGCCAGCGGACAGAGGGAGGTGACCTGCCAGCCAAGATGGGTGCCAGTGGGGGCCTCCTAATTGCCCTGCCCGCCAGTTGCCCCACAAATGGCCCTGATCACTGGCCAGGCCTAGGGACCCTACCCTATATATTGGAAACAATCTGTTAGATTTAAAAATTAAAACCTGGCAAGACTACCATAACACTGAAAAAACAGGATGATGCAGCGATGACATGCATGGACTCTGGCTTGCACATTTTGTGATCAGCCTTGATTCTGACACTTAGAACTGTGTGACAAAGCCAATTACTTAACTTCTCTCTGCTTTTTTTCCACCGATAAGATGGGGAAAATGGTACTACTGCCTCAGAAGAATCATGTTATGTGCTATTTTTTATAATCAGGGCAAAAAAAAAAAATGTAGCTGCCTATATAACAGCAAGAAGCTTTTAACCTGTATGAAAAGTATGGTCACTGGTGCATGCAACATCCTGGATTTCTAGAGGATGTGAAACTGCCTGTTTAGGTCCATAAACTGGCAGTTGGACATCCCCCGAGGGTCTCGGATTGCTAGAGGGTGCAGGCCAGGCTTTTAGTTTAATTACATGGTTATGTCCCAAACTAGGCTTAAAAAGCACATATGTAAATGGCTTCAATTAATATATACTTTTACATTCAAACCTATGATTTTTCTCTTTCCTAGTTTTACACTGCCACTATGTTGACAGTTTTCTGTTATTGTGTAGTGACAAAGATCTACACAAAACTCTTCCATAAGTTAATTATTTACTTATTCAGAATTTCAAAGGAACAATGGCAAGAAAACTCCAAACCTAGAGGAAAAATAGAATAAAAAATGTTTTAAATTACTTACATTATTACAATAAAATGCATAAAATACTCCAGAGACATAGCAGCCCAGTATTCCAATTGAAATTCCTGCATAATCTAATGCCATCCATCTTCGACAGGTTTTTTCTGATCGATGGCAGGAAAAAAGATGATAGCCCACAGAGCAAAGCATACAGACCTATGAAGAATAGAACAAACAAAATGAAAATGAAACAAGAAGAAATAAATCAACATATGAACTATGTTCAGGGAAGTGGTAGGTCTAGCCCTGGCTTTCCAGTCAAACACATCTGAGCTTGGAGGTTAGCTGTGTCTGTTAGGCGAGCTGTTATTTCTCTAAGCCTCAGTTTACTCTTCGGTTAAATGGGGATAACTATATAACAAAAGAATTTCAAAATGATAGCTAATTTACAATATAAATATTTAAAATAAATAGCACGATAGTAGGAAAGTTACAAATGTTTTAAAAATATCCACTGAGGCTTATTTTGATCCATGAAGGACTTTCCTTTATAAACAGTATTTACTATATAAGTAATATATGTCCTTAAAAAAAGTCAAAGATCATAGAATTATATGCTGTATAATAAATAAATAAATAAATAAATAAATAAATAAATAAATCCCTCCTGTTCAAATCTATTCCCAAAAGATAACCACTGATAACATTTATGTTCTTTCAGATATTTTCAATGAATATATCAAAGACCTATAATATAGAAGACTGCACATACCCAAGGATTCTTTTTCCACTGATTTTTTTGAGAGTAGAAGAGAGGGAGAGAGAGAGAAACATCGATCGATTGGTTGCCTCCCGCACACGCCCCAACTGGGCCAGGATTGAGCCTGCAACTGAGTATGTACCCTTGATTGGAATCAAATCTGCAACCCTCCAGTCTGCAGGCCCATGCTCTAGCTACTGAGCAACTGGCTAGGGCCATATATATACTTCTTTAGATTAATTAAATGGAATCACATTAAACATTCTGATTTGCAATTTGCTTTTTTCATTTAAGATTTCTCACAGCTGTTTGGGATTTCATTGTATAGTGTTTACTTTTTTTTTTTTTTTTTTTTTTTAAATATATTGTATTGATTTTTTACAGAGAGGAAGGAAGAGGGATAGAGAGTTAGAAACATCAATCAGCTGCCTCCTGCACAACCCCTACTGGGGATGTGCCTGCAACCATGCCCTTGACCAGAATCGAACCTGGGACCCTTGAGTCTGCAGGCCGATGCTCTATCCACTGAGCCAAACCGGTTTTGGCTAGAGTTTACTTTTAAGTTATAAATTAAACATGGCTTTGTCGTGTCCAAGAAAATATAATTATGACTTTTGTTTACTTTATATGGTTGCCAAATTGAGAGCAAAATAGTCTGATTCATTGAGCTACTCTGAAAACGGATAAGGTTTCTATGGCTGAAGTCCCTGCAGACAGGAAGTATCTGTGATGTGTCGCACACTGGGGCTACAAAGATGAAACCTATACTCTCAGATGGTGATGTAAGAAGTCCCAAGGGAAAAGCCAGTGCAGAGCACAATGAGAAACAGAAGAGGAAGGGTCCAGGCTCCGTGGGCGTGTATACGGGAGAGTGGGAGTTATGGGAACACCTGAACTAAAGGTTACGAGGTTGATCTGGTATTCATTAAGGACAACAATAAAGATGTGCACATGCTTACTGGGAGGTCCTCAGGAAAAGCAGCACACTGAGAAACAGAACTGTTAAGGAGTTTCATGCAGCCTTCTTCATGACATGATTATGGTAAGCTGTACATATCAAGGAGTTTTAACTTCAGTATTATGGGCTAGGTGTGATAATACTGGAGATTTTAAATATTTTTATTTTTTATTTTTTACAGAGAGGAAGAGATAGGGATAGAGATTAGAAACATCGATGAGAGAGAAGCATCAATCAGCTGCCTCCTGCACTGGGGATATGCCCGCAACCAAGGTACATGCCCTTGACCGGAATCGAACCTAGGACCTTTCAGTCCGCAGGCCGATGCTCTATCCACTGAGCCAAACCGGTTTCGGCAGTACTGGAGATTTTAAGTGCAACCTATGGACAGGCTGAGACAAGAGGCTACAAGAGTAGCCCTGGGGAGCAATGACAAGAGCCTAACTAGGCCAGTGACAGGGGGCGTGGAGTAAACAGGACAGATAAACAATATGAAGCAGGTCAAATGTTTAAACATTTGTGAGCAACTACTAAGGTTGCTTATAATTGTCATCTTGCTCTTCTATAATATGGTCATTAAACCTAATCAGTTCCCTTGGCCTCAATATCAATATGCAAAACAATGTACCTAGCCACAATCTCTTCCCCCAGTCTAATGGCTTTGGTTATCAAACTACAATTCAGTTTATTGATTCAATGAAACATAATTCCAAGAAGCTTGATGGTTTTGTCAGATCCTTGAGATTAAACACAGTATATTCAGAAAGTATCAAGATGCATATTCTCATTGAAATGGAATGATCTTAACTGACAAAAACCATGCAGAGATGATCAAGCTTGGAAGTGGGTAGATGGGTAAGTAGGCAGGTGGCAGGTGTGAGGCAGCTGTGCACACACAAGTATCAGGAGGAATTTTAACCCAAATTTCACATGTGGTTACCTCTGGGGGTGGAATTTCAAGAGATTTTTACTTTCTTCCAGATAACTTTATTGTTTGCTTGAATTTCTCCATGAGCATATCTTATAGTGACAATAAAAACAACAATAAAGCTAATTTCTTTGTGAACAAGAAGATAAGAGAGGAAAGAGGAAAAAACTACAGTATCAAAAGGGAAAGTACAATATACAGTGTTCATGAGAAGCACTGAGTATTGAGAAAGTTAACCCATACTTCATATGTCCCGTTTTAAAAGGGATGTGTTACTGTTAGAGTTCCTTAGGAAAATGACAGAAAAGTTACTTGGAAAAAAGAGTACATTTCAGTTTTCTTCTGTGGAACATCTCATTTCACCAAGGCAAACAGATAATTAGGTTGTGACATCCTGAGTCTAAGCTCCTTGGCACAATAACCAAGTATCTCAGCATCTGGCTCCTGCCTGTCTCTCCAGCCCCATCTTTCTCTACTCTTCCCAGAGATGGCCCTAGCCAGTTGCCCAGTGGTTAGAGCATGGGACCACAGACTGAAGGGTTGCAGGTTTGATTCCAGTAAAGGGTACATACTTCAGTTGCAGGCTTAATCCCGGCCCAGCAAGATGACAAGTATAAGCAACCACGAAGGCCAGCGACTGCAAGTCCAGAAAGTGTTAAGCTGCCTCTTGCTTCTGGGCCTTCACAAAAATTATTTTTTCCTACTTAAATGCCCTGCCTCCCTCTCCCTTCTGCTCTCCTACCGGGAGTGACCCAACCTTCATGACAGGTTGGTTTTGTTCAGCACTGTATTCCCAATGCCTAGCTTAGTACCTGGATTTAGGGAGGAGGCATGTAAAAAATATTTGTTGTACTGACTGTAAATGAACGGAATCCAAGGAGAGACGTTTTCAGATTCTACTCTTCCTCTAAGACAGAAAGACCTCTGGGGTAGTTTAGAGCCCCTGAAGTCACATTATTACTCAGAATGTACTCTATTAATCTGGTTGAGAGGAACGCATTGAGTATATAAAATGGGTAAAATTGAAAAGAGAAAAAAAAAGTTATGGTTTAAATCTAAATCAACATAAATATGTACACAGATAATAATTTAATAAAAATAAATAAATCAACATAGATACATCTATTTATGGTTTACCATGCTGCCTGCTGATTCTAAGAATTTGGGAAAATTGGTGAACAAATTATAAATGTAATTTCATAAATCCATATATTATATATATAGAAAGCCAGGGGCCCTCATGATAGAAACAATTGGACAGATGACTGAACAGACTGCATGGGGCAACCAGGCCAGCAGGGGAGTTAGTGAGGGATGACCAAATGACTGAACAGCAGGCTGCGTGGGGCAACCAGGTCAGAAGGGGGGGTAGTTGGGGGCGAGTAGGCCAGGAGGGAGCAGTTGGGGGCAATCAGGCCAGCAATCAGAGGTGTGCGGTTAGGAGCCAGCGGTCCAGGATTGTGAGAGGGATGTCCGATTGCCGATTTAGGCCTGATCCCTGAGGAGTCTCGGACTGGTGAGGGTGCAGGCTGGGCTGAGGAGACCCTCCCTGCACTGCGTGAATTTTGTGTACCAGGCCTCTAGTATAAAAATAACAGAAATGATATTTTTAGGGAGGATGTACTCATCTGTCTTCAGCAAGTTTTACAGTAGGTAACAAAAATTGCATTGCCAGTTAGGAGAATAGGGTTTTACTGTAATGCTGAGTAATCTTAGCAGGTCACTGTAATATTTTGGGTGTTTTTTTACTGGCAGTTTTTTTTTTTTTTTTTAACTATTTCATCTTTATAGTTGTGCAATGCATTGTTTTCTTAGGCCAATATGAAAACAATATATTTTTCCTGGTCCAACATCAGCTATATCTGGGTGGTGAAGGAATTAAAGGGCAGGCCTAAGGGTAGAGGGATTCTCAAAGTAGATAATATCCATATAACCAACAAGAAAATAAAAATTGCTTACTTATGATTATTAAGAGCACCTCACTCTATGTTAAGATATAGCTTAAAATTAAAAAATTGATTCCTTTTAAAATAGCAATGGATTCTAAGAGATATTTAGGCTTCGATCAGTACAAAAACTAAACCTGACGAAGAAAATATTTAAAAAAATACTTAAAAGGAAGAGTAATTTTCTAATAATAACAACAACACAAAAATACAGAGTATTCTTACCCTCAAAGAACTTCAAAATATTATTCCAGAAACTAGGATTCTAAAATAAAAATGGTGGGGCTGGGGGAGAAGAGATATTTTCTGATGAGTTTCTTAGTCATTTAAGTCTAAAGTTTTGACTTGAGTCAAATGATGATACATAATAAAGCAGATGCTTACAGATTCACCTTTCAAACCTTGTAGCCACAGGTTGACTGCAGGGAGTGGTGGCCTGTTTGGAGAAAGTGGGATAACACCTTTTTCTTTTCATTTTTACGATCATCTGTACTTTCTGCATTTTTTTTAATTTAAAAATTATCAACAGGAATTTTGTCCAAGTTTGTTTTCTTCTTTGGAATGATCTGTGTGCAAAACTATTAAGTATAACTGCTGAAGGCACTCTTATAGAGGTCTGAAGAAAAATGAAAGTGCTAAAGAACTAACAAATGCAAGAGGCAGAGAGGAGAGAAACTGAAGTAAGTATCTGAAACCAGGCAAGCATAAAAGGACTGAAGGAAATTAACATCAGAGCAACAGAAAAGATCAATACCAGCTAAATAAGACGTTAAAATTAAGATGGTATAAAATAAGTACAAAAATCACAGATGTATAAGTTGGAAAAAGATGAGACATTTTCTCAAACAAGTGTTAAGCAGCCACTAGTATTCTACTTCAGTCAGAAATTATAGTACAATCAGAGTTTCCTATCATTGTATTAATCTTAAAGCAGAGATGTCTATAAAGGGAAAGAGAAAATGAAACAAACAAATGTTCTCAATATTTAAAATTTATTAGATTTCAAATATACTCTAATAATAACATCCAAATACACTTTTATAAAACATATTTTTGGTGCTTACACTATGAAAGTGAGTAAGCTATCCATTATGCAATTTGGGGGCTTTTAAAGCAAGTGGAGGTGAAGTAAGATCACCTGCCCAGACTTGTCTGACTAAAATTCTCTTTCCCACCAACAGTGTTTATGAAATGACTTACCTGGAAGCAGAAAAGACAAATAGAACAAATTACAAAATCTTCTCTGGATGCACTTGCTGAAGGTAACACAGATGTCATGTCATATATTCCCAGTGTGAAGAAGAGAAAGAAACCCAGCAAATGACTCCAAATGTTTACTGTCTCATTAGATAAAATAAACAAACTGGAAGACAAAACAAAACAAAGCCCATGAAGTTCAGAATCATAGTGGCTCGCTCACTGTCAGCATTTTAAAGGTAAGGAACAATTTTTCCTGGGTTACCTAACACCACTTTAAGTCCTTCACCCCATCTTTGCCTTTATAAATTTGATGTATAATTTGGCTTAATTAATCTCTTAGTTTTTCCACAACCAATCCTAGGATCTTAGAGGTTTTTTTGATGCTCACCTGTAGTATGATATTGATCATTTTGTTCCTTGTATTAGAGTTATTAATGTATAAATGCCATTTTCAACCTCCAGCCTATTAACTCCCTGGCTGACACCATTCATCTGTATGACACCACTGTTTTAAGCACAGTGTCTTGCTCCAATTAGATGCTAAATGTCTACAGAAATAAATGTGCAGATTAAAACTAGATATTAGCTAGCATACTCTGATGTTCAATAACAGGTGTTTGAAAACCGAAGTATTAGGTTAGACACAACTTAAAATACCTTTTTAGTACTTGTTAAATGCAGAATTAAATGGGTTTGAGAGAAGCAGAATAAATAAAAATGGATTCACTGGAAAGACCTATAAGACAGGCATGCTGGAACAACTTTTCAAAACCATTGTTTTGCAACCATGGTTTCCAGGTGGCACGTTCTTATTAGGAACAATAGGAGGTTACTATTGCTGACTGACTGGTTTGCAGCACAGGCTGGTGTACCACACTGAGCACAAGTCCAGGCCTACTGTCCCTTCACCCCCTCTGCCACAAATCAGCTCTGTGGTCATGAGAAAGTCACTTAACCTCTCTGTCTTGGGTATCTTCATCTAAAAAAAGGGAGCTGGATTAGATGCTGCTGCAAGTCCCTTCTGGCTCCTTCCTTAATCTTGTGAAGTGTTTCTCCTGCTGTGGACAGAACTCACCTGACTATTTATTGAAAGGTGACATCACGACTAAAAAAATTAAAATATTCTTGCATTTCTCTTGCAAAATAATCTTTCTAAACTAAGCCTTTGGTTTAGTTTACCGATTCAGAATCCTTAATAGTAGACATTAAGATATAACTAGCTCGTGGAATTTGCAGCAGTCATCATGGTTTCCCATCTTTGCACAACAACAACAACAACAAAAAAGCAGAGTTTCACACTGTCAAACGACCAAGGATAAAGTGAATCATATATCATGAAGTTCATGTTTTATCAGTACAAGCATCAAATATAAAGGCTACTTACACTGTTGTGTGTGGAGGGGATAGGATGCAGGAATGTGAGGGGACACATCTAACTACAGGTCTGTTTTGACAATCAATGCTATGTTCTGCCTGTTGCTTCAGAACTTTTCATTTTGTGAAGCTCAGTCTAACTGGACTAACTGAACTGACAGATACAATCTTGGCATGTTCCTTCCAACTAACAGAGTCCTGGCAGAACAGTTGTGACACAATGCCTCTCCTTATATCTAAGATCTATCCTGGCCGTGCTTGACAGCAACAAGAAGAGGGGGCAAAGGCTGAAACCGGAAAAGACCAAGCTAGTGGGAAAAGCACTTAGGAGAATATCCACAATAGACAACATACTCTTAATTTATGAGAAGTTAGTTCCCAGACTGTTCAGTTTCAAAATCAATAATCAGCCTGGCCGGCATGGCTCAATGGTAGAGCGTTGACCTACGAACCAGAAAGACACAGTTCGATTCAGGGCACAAGCCTGGTTTGTGGGTCCCAGCCCCAGTAAGGGGTGTGCAAGAGGCAGCCGATCAATGATTCTCTCTCACCATCAGTGTTTCTGTCTCTTCCTCTCCCTTGCCCTCTCAACAATCAATAAAAATATATTTTAAAAAAATCATCTCCATCATCAACATCTGGTTAGCTTTGATGACCATGATAATACCATTTGTTTGAGTGGTAGGCCCTGTATAGGGTTTCACATATACAATCTCATTTAATCATTATAGCTTTCTGAAGCAGCTACTATGATCACCCTCACTTTTACAAATGGGGAAAATAAGACTCAGAGAAGTTAACTTTTCATCAAGGTCCCACAGTTGTTAAGTGGTAGATCTGGATACCCATGTTTTTTGTGTGTTTTTTTGACTCAACAGCCCAAGATCCAAAGCACTAGATTACATTTCTCAATCCATAAGATTTGGACTCTAATAATTAGATCACTGCTAGGTGGGTATAAAATATTTAAGGCAATTCACTACCTGCAAGGCTTAGCTCTGATTTCCTGAGTAATACCTTATACACAGGAGGAGACACTGGAGAGAAAAAGATTACGTAGGATTCAACTTGTGAAGTCCTGTGGGCCATCCATTAAAGCAAAAAAGGGACAGACGGTGATTGTTATTATACCTTGTGACTGTGAGTCACAGAAACACTGTCGAGGCAGGCAAAGGAACTGGGGAAGGACCATGCTGAAAAGGTCAAGAACCAGACCTGTGGGTGCTGCTTGAGCAATTCAACAGCCCACTTTCCAGCACTGGGGTTTGTCTCTACAGTGACCTGGAGCCGGCCGACATCTGCACTGTAATTCTCTTAAAAGTGGGGTCCCGATTGAAGTGCACACAGTGAATTTCCACAGGAAGCTCTTTGAAGGCTTAGAACACTAATTTTTCAGTTTTGTGTGTGTGTGTGTGTGTGTGTGTGTGTGTTTTAAAGCCCAGGCTTTCCAGGGTGTTCGAGGTTTGGAGGACGGAATTTGGAGTTGCTCCTACAGTTCTCTAGTGGAGGGCGGTGCCCGTTATAGTCTCTCCTTGCTTATAGAGTGCCTTTTCCTACACAGCGTTTTTCACAACGGTTATTATGTAATAGCGTCGTTATCTCTCTCGTGTGTGCCACCCAGGCTGGACTTTAGCAGCCCATGAGAACCAGGGCCTTGTCTGCTGCTCTGCACCACCTGGTGAAGGGTCTGTCACCTAGCAGGGGCTCCCAGGACCTGCTGGATGAATGAAGCAGGGCTTCCTCAACCTGTGAACTTGTTTCCTAGGACACAGGCGTTTGTCTGACCCCAAACACCTGCATTTCCATAAGGGCTGCTCTAAAGATAAAGCTTAGATACAACACAGGGGGGTGAATGGAAGATGTGAAAGCCCTTTGTACACAGCAGAGAGCCAGAGCCAGTCATTAGGATCCCAGTTACTATCCTTCTTATTATTAATTAATTACTCGGTGGGTCACACAGCGCGGAGGAGGGAAGGTAACAGGCAGGAGAGGTGGAGAGAGGAACGGGAAGCACAGGGAGGGGAGCAGCGGGGAAGGCGGCGGAGAGAGCAGACACACGCCGGGCGGTGGGCGGGGAGGAGAGGCTGCCGGGCGGCGCGCTGGGGGCGGCCGGACGGTACCTTTTGATGCACAGCCGGGAGGGCAGGTAGGCCCGGTAGCCGTCGGTGATGTACGGGTTGTCCTTGAGGGACACGGGGATCTGCTCGTAGGTGTAGAGGCGGATGCCGCGGGGCACCAGCACCGGCCAGTACTGGTAACTGCCCAGCTCGATGTAATGCGCGCTCTTGAGCAGCTTCTGATGCATCCTCCCCGGCGGCCGCCGCTCCCCGCGGGGAGCCCGCCCGGCTCCGCTCCGCCTCCCCGGGGAGGGGGCTTCGCCGCCGCCGCAGCCCCCGCCCCGGAGCCCCCCGCGGACGCGCTGCGCGAGGTCCTCCGCCGCCCGCCGCTGCCCAGGCCCGGCTGCGAGCGCTCTGGCCGCGGCCGTCAACGCACGGGCGGGTCCGGCGGAGGCCCCGCCCCCGACGTCATCACGCGGCGGAGGCCCCGCCCCTCGCTGGGCCGCCCCCCGCGTGCGCGGTGGCTGTGTCAGGGCGGGATCCTTGAACTGCGCTGGACGCTGCCAGTGTCTCCCTTTTTAGGTAAGAAAAGCACAGAACTGCACAGGGGAATACAAGTGTTTTTTTCTTTTTTTTTTTTTTTGTTTGTAATTAGAAGCAATAGTTGTTAAATTTTGAAAAGTCAATGAGAAAACATTTGAAGACAAAAACTAAGTGTTCACCGGTTTCTCTCTGTTTCCAAGGAATCTCACACACTTAAATGGCAGAAGGGAACTTGGAGGTTTCTAAGGTTAGTCCTTTCATGGAGTTGCAATAGAGGAAACCTGATGGTCACAGAACATGTTACAAAATCTGAGCGTCCGCCGAGCCATAAAGAAAACCCCAACACATTCAAAACATACTAAAACCATTCAGAGTGTGTCCTTTTAACCTAACAGAAAGAAACCAGAAATAATCAAGACAACTAAATATCCGGGGGCAACCCAAGCCCCTGGCTGGCTCCTGCTTTGTAACTGCACCATCTTTGTTGGGATTTATTTATCTTCTATAGTTGAAACTTTGTAGCCTTGAGCAGAGAGGCCAGGGCCAGCCAGGGCGGGCAGGAAGCTTGGCTTCCTCCATCGCTGGGGGCAATCCACGCCTCCTGCTTGCTCCAGCGCTGTGGCCGCTGCCATATTTGTTGAGTTAATTTGAATACTCGCTCCTGATTGGCTGGTGGGCGTGGCTTGTGAGCATAGTGGAGGTGTGGTCAATTTTCACGTTTTCTCTTTTATTAGATAGGATAGTAAAGTTTGCAAGGTGGTGTGGTTTAATGATTAAGTTCTGAACTTTTAAGCCATACTACCAGGGTTTGAATTTTTTATTTTATTTTATTGATTTTTTTATAGAGAGGAAGATAGAGGGATAGAGAGTTAGAAACATCGATCAGCTGCCTCCTTCACACCCCCACTGGAGATGTGCCCGCAATCAAGGTACATGCCCTTGACTGGAATTGAACCTGAGACTTTTCAGTCTGCAGGCCGATGTTCTATCCTCTGAGCCAAACTGGTTTTGACTGTGTTTGAAATCTTGTTCAACCATTTAATAGCTATGTGTCCTTGTGCAGTACTTAATGTCATCATGTATCAGTTTTTACATTAGTAAAATATGGATAATATTGATACTTTGAGTTATGAGGATTAAATGAGTGAATGTATGTATTCTCTAAAGCAAGCATGTCAGACTCAAAGACTAAGAAGGGCCAAATAAACAAGGTTTAAGTTTATGTGGGCCGCAAAAAAACAAAATTTCAATTTTCATACAAACCTAGGTTTATTTCAATAGAGACATGCTGAATACAAAGGGCTGAAATAAATGAATGATCATTAGCATAAGACAATAGAACATTTTAATAAAAATTAATATTTTTTCTTGAATATTAACCTACCAGACACTGAATAACTGCACAAATTAAAATTGTAACGCAAATAAACCTACTTTTCTTGTTCTCTGAAAGTGAAATATTTTTCTGTTGTGCACACCAAACAAGTCAGTACAAGACTAATGACTTGGCAATCGGCTGCTAAAATATTTGCTGCCAGTATTAGTAGAGAGAAATGGTGCGCCTGCATGTAAGGTGTGTAAGGGAAATGAATGCAACACGATTATAGTAATCAGTCATTAGTGAACATTGTAGTTCATTATTAATAACTAGAGCCCCAGTACACAAAATTTGTGCACGGTGGGGGAATGTCCCTCAGCCCAGCCTGCATCCTCTCCAATCTGGGACCCCTTGGGGGATGTCTGACTGCCAGTTTAGGCTCAGCCCCTGTGGGATAGGGCCTAAACTAGCAGTCAGACATCCCTCTCGAAATCCAGGACCACTGGCTCCTAACCACTCACCTGTCTGCCTGCTTAATACCCCCATCTACCCTCCCTTGGTGTCCTAGTCACCCCCAATGGCTCTCTCCTGCCGGCCTGGTCAACCTCAACAGCCCTCACCTGTAGGTCTGATCACCCCCAACAGCCCTCCCCTGCAGGCCTGGTAACCCCGAACTGCCCTCCCCTGCTGCCTGATCTCGCTCCCAACTGCCCTCCCCTGCCAGCCTGATCTCGCCCCCAACTGCCTTCCCCTTCCAGCCTGATTGCCCCTAACCTCTTGCCAACCTGATCTTGCCCCTAACTGCCTGTGCCTCAGCCCCCACCACCATGGCTTTGTCTGGAAGGAAGTCGGATCTCTAGAAGATGGCCAGTTGACCTGGTCTGATTAGCATATTACCCTTTTATTAGTATAGATTATGTATAACAGGATATTGTAAAAATTAAGTTATGAAATTTTTATTAAAATATTTCTTACATATTGTGGTCCACGAGTTTGACATGCTTGCTCTAAGGGAAGTGCCAGGCATATTGTTAACACCCAACAAATGTTAGCTATTATTAGAGTTTAAGGGATGATATATTAATACCCTGTTTCCCCGAAAATAAGACAGTGTCTTATATTAATTTTTGCTCCCAAAGATGTACTAGGTCCTATTTTCAGGGGATGTCTTTATTGTTCTATGAAGAAGAATACGGTACACATTTATTGTTAAATGAAAATGAAGGAAATTTATTACCTGTATATGGTACAGTAGTACGGTAGTTGTCAACACAAACTGTGAATCCTACAGTATCAAGAATTTACTCATTTATTCAGTGACAATCATGTCATCATCTTCTGGAACATCATCATAACAATCCAATTCCTGAATTTCCTGGTTAATTTCTTGTGACTCCATTTCTTTCAGAATCAGTGGACCAAATCTCTCATGTTTAACCTGGGGGGGGAGCGCTTATTTTCGGGGGATGCCTTATATTTCACTCAAAAGGAAACCTGTAAGTAGGTCTTATTTTCGGAGGATGTCTTATTTTCGGGGAAACACGGTAGATTAAAATGAAAAGGTAAGTTGACTCAATGGATTTAAATGTCATATAAAGGAATTAAACATTTTGTTTAATCCATGGAACTAAAGTTAATATTTGAGAGCTTATTATGTACCTAGTACATTGCCTCTGCTGAATATCACAATGTATAGGAATTCTAATTGTCTAGTGGAGGAAATTCATGCCTGAGAGAGTCTGCCACTTCCATAGATCTCTTACTAAGAGGTTCCATCTACATGTATTCTTGCTGGGACCATATGACATTCTTTTTTAAAAATCTATTTTTATTGATTTCAGAGAGGAAGGGAGAGGGGGAGAGAGAGAGGAACATCAATGATGAGAGAGACCTATTGATTGACTGCCTCCTGCACGCCCCCTATTGGGGATTGAGTTAGCCTGTCACAAATGTCCATACAAAAGCATGGTAATCAGTTTCTTTCTTGGGAATTTGACCTGGAGGTATGGGAAGAGAGCCTGTAGCCGGTATTTGAAACAGAAGTAGAAAGATGCCCAGAGATGATCAAAGACAGAGGAAGTAGCTATGTTATGATAATGGTAGGACACTATAGTGAAGAACTAAGAATGGTAGATGCTTAAGAATGTACCCTGGCCGAAACCGGTTTGGCTCAGTGGATAGAGCGTCGACCTGTGGACTAAAAGGTCCCAGGTTTGATTCCGGTCAAGGACATGTACCTTGGTTGCAGGCACATCCCCATTGGGGGTGTGCAAGAGGCAGCTGATCGATGATTCTCTCTCATCGATGTTTCTAGCTCTCTGTCCTCTCTCTTCCTCTCTCTAGAAAATCAATAAAATATATTAAAAAAAAAGAATGTACCCTGAAGCCTGTTGCAAAATGACTTCTGACTGACTTTAATAACTCATAATCCATTTCAGTTGTCTCTAGTTCATTTCTGTTTAATTTTTAAATTAAGCATCTTATTTATTTTTAAATATATTTTTATTAATTTCAGAGAGGAAGATGAGAGAGAGAGAGAGAGAGAGGGAGAGAGAAAGAAAGAGACAATGAGTGAGAGGAGAGAGAGAGATTGATGATGAAATAGAATTATCCATCGTCTGCCTCTTGCACGTCCCCTACTGGGGATCAGTGCGATTGAAACTTCGTGGCCCATGCTCAAAAGTCGGTTTTCAGCCTGGGCGAGTCTATTTTGAAGAAGTGGCATTAGAACACTCAAGGGGCTAAAGAGCCACATGTGGCTCGCAAGCTGCGGTTTGCTGACCACTGCTCTAGTACCTTGGATATAACTTTTTTTTTGGAAATAGGGTCTTTGCATATGTAATTAAGTTTAAGATCTCCAGATCATTCTGGATTTAGTGTGGGCTATAAATCCAGTCACTGGATTTATCATAAGAGAAAGGAGAGGAATATTTGAGATATACAAGACAGAAGAAGGCCATGTGAAGACAGAAGCAGAGATTGAAGTTATGCTACCACAAGCCACGGAATCCCTGCAGCCTTCATAAGCTGAAAGAGGCGAGGAAGGATCCATCCCCAAAACCTATAGACTTAGGACTTCTGGCCTCCAGAACTCGGAGAGAATACATTTCTATTGCAGTAAGCCACCAAGTTTGTGGCAGCCCTAGGGAAGTGATATAGATTGTGATTTTGGGAAGAGGGGCGCTATATTTCATATAGCTATAATGAAAGCTATAAATGTAGAAGTGGCTTTGGACCTGGATAATGGATAGAGGCTAAAAGAATGTTGAGGTAAAATGATAGAAAAAGCCTAAATTTTCTTGAAGAGATGGTTGGTAGAAATATAGTTAATGGCAATTCTGATGAGAGCTAAGAAGGAAGTGAAGAGCTCTTAGAGAATGAATATAT